TTAGGTTCCTGGTGTCTTCTTCTTGGCCGGTTCAGGCTTCTACAGCCTTCATATTGGCCGGTTCAGGCCTCCTCAACCGGCATATTGGCCAGTTCAGGCCTCCATAGCCTTCATATTGGTCGGTTCAGGTGTATACAATACAACCTTCATATTGGCCGGTTAAGGTCTCCTTTGTCTTTATATTGGTTGGTTTAGTTCCTGGCAGATCCATTCTACTTCTGCTTATTGTCCTGTTCATTCTCCAGCAACTCATAGCCGACATGAAATCATTTGAATTTTTTTTTTGGGCCACGGCGAGCTCATTGTTCATCATATGGTTTTTGATGTTGGTTAGCTATGGTTAGATTTTATGGCCAGATTTTTCTGATTACTGATCATTAGTGGGTTATCAGGCTTTTGTGGATATTTTGTTTTGGTTTGAACCTACCTAATTACTCATGGATTATGTATGACGACTTTGAGTGGTGGAAGTGGTGGTAGTTCTTATCGTGGCCATCATTTTGAGTGGAAGTGTACCTATTGTGGTGGTGTAGGGCATACTGAGGATTATTTTTTGAATAAATATGGGAGACCCAGATATGCTCATCAAGCTATTAAGGATACTTCGACCTTCTAGTATCTCAAATTTCTTCCAATGGTCCAGTTGCATCTACTCCTGATTCTCATGCTGAGCTTTCTTCTCAACTTTGTTAGCTCATCAAACTGTTATCTTCATTTGCTCCACAATTATCTGGTCTTGCTAATGAAAGTAGCTATGCATGTGTGGTTGCTCAGCCTTCTTTGTCACCCTAGATCATTGATTCAGGAGGTATTGCTTGTATGCAAGGATCAAAATATCATTTCGGTGTATTATTTCGGTCACCTAGAAAACGGAAACATTTCGACGTGTTTCGGAAACGTTTCGACTCGTTTGGAAAGCATAATGAAAAGAATAAAAAATTTAAGAATTATTTTTCTAAAACATTGATGAAAATATATCAAAATACCTTGAAACATTCTAAAACAATTGTGTAAATGTATTGAAATATTATAATACATTTAAAAACATTATGGAATACTTCAAAATATCAAATTTCGATTCCATCACTATTTCGTTTCGGTCTTCTTGGAAACGGAAACGTTTCGGACGTTTCGAAACGATATTTTGATCCTTGCTTGTATGTCTGAAAATTTTTCTCTATTTTCGAATTTTCGTTAATGTAACTCATGTATTATATTTGTTGATGGCTCATTTCGACCGGTACATGGATTGGAGATCTTCGTCCTACACAATCTGTCATTAACCTCTACTTTGTTTGTTCAGAATTTTCGCTTTAACTTGTTGTCCGTAAGTTAGCTCACTAATTCATTACAGCGTTTCGCAACCTTCTCTCCATCCTCTTGTATTTTTTAGGACCTCAGGACGAAAAAGGTGATTGGTTTGGGACATGCGCGCAATGGACTGTACTACTTTGATCTTGATAGTTCTATTCCTACCTTTATTGCTATCGTGTCTCCCCTCAGTGCCACTTCTGACTTGGTCATCCCTCCATGCAAAAGTTGCGTCAATTATTTCTAGTTTGGGTTCTTCTTATATATTAGAATGTGAGGCTAGTCAATTAGGTAAACATCACCGTATGGTCTGTGTCCTCCTAGTTTTTCATGTCGTTAGTTCAATTCGTTTCATGTTGTTCATTATGACTATTAAGGTCTTACAAGAGTCAAAAGTACTTTTGGTTTTTAGTATTTTGTGATCTTCGTTCATTTCTCCCGTATGAATTAGTTATTTGTTATGAAAGATCGACCAGGATTATTACCTAATGTCTTGGCCACTTTTTATAATAAAATTTTGGTTTAGTGTGGTGTGCGTATTAAAATTCTTCGCTTTGACAATGTCTTTGAGTATACTCGATCATTTATGAAAATCTTTTGTTCTGTCCATGACATTATTCATCAAACCACCTATTCTCATACCTCCCTAACACTCGAACGTAAATATCGTTATTTGTTGGATGTTGCATGCACCTTGATGATTAACGTGCATATGCCAAAACAATATTAGGCCGATGATCCACAAATCTCCTTTATCATTGTTTTATCCTAATAAACCGCCATTTGGTCTTACTCCTCGTGTCTTTGGCTGTGTTGTATTTGTTCATCTCCTTGGTCTGAATAGAGATAAACTTTCATCTCGCTCAGTTAAGTGTGTCTTTCTATGATGTTTTCGTACTAAAAAAGGTTATTGCTATTGTGATCTTGTTTCTCATCAATATTATGTAAGTGCCGATGTTATATTTTTTGAGTCATCTTGTTTCTTTTCTATGTTACGGGATACACTTTCTCCAGATTTAGTCTTTCCCAGTCAGGGGAGCTTTTGTTGCCTATTTTATCAGACTGTGTATCTTTTTCCTCCTCGATTACTAATCTTCCGTTGCAGTTTATCGTCGTTCTACGGACAGACTGGTTGTTCCATATACTCCACCTCAACACCCATCACCTGATTCTACTAAGGTTCTTCGGTTGAAGCCATTAGCTAGTTTATTTTTTTCTGATTTGCCTATTGCACCGGGGAAAAGTACTCGTACCTGTACCAAACATCCCATTTCTAATTTTATTTTTTTTCATCGGTTTTTATCCTCCTTTTGTTATTTTGGATCGATTTTGTTTTCTGTTCTTGTTCCTAATTTTTTGAAGTAGACTTTGACATCTTCTGGTTGGAAATTGGCTATAGGTGAAGAAATAAAATCTCTTCATGACAATCGGACATGGTATCTTGTTACTCTTTCTTCTGGCAAGTAGCTTGTTAGTTGTCGGTGGGTTTACACAGTGAAGTACCATCTTGATGGTTCAATTGAGCGTTTATAGGCACGTTTGGTTGTCAAAGGCTACACTCGAATCTATGGTGTGGATTACTGTGAGATTTTTTCTCCAGTTGTTTGTCTTAACTCTATTAGAGTTCTTCTTTCTATTGTAGTTGTGATTGACCTTTATATCAATTAGATATCAATAATGTCTTTTTACATGGAGACTTATAAGAGGAGGTATATATGGTACAACCTCCAGAATATGTTGCATTTGACAAGGAACAATTAGTGTGTTGTCTCAAGAAAGCATTATACGGTTTAAAATAATCACCACGTGCTTGGTTTGATAAGTTTAGCACTGTTGTGTTTCAGTATGATTTTCAACGCTCTACCTTAGATCATTCAGTAATTATTCGTCGTTCTTTCGTTATTCTTATTGTGCGTGTTGATGACATTATCATTAGTAAGAATGACTCAGATGGTATTACCCCCTTTAAGATCTATTTGGGGAATTAATTTCATACCAAAGACTTAGGTCATCTTTGGTATTTTGTTGGGATTAAGGTTGCTTGGTCTGAAACTGGTACCCTTGGTGCACGTCTAGTTAGTACTCCCATGGACTCTATAGTTAAGTTAGACGTAGAGAGTGGTGGGGTTTATATAATTTCAACTAAACTTATTGAGAAGAAAAATGTTGGCTCGTTTGCCCCTTAATCTTCTGTGCCTCTATGTGTTTGATTCTTGCCCATATTCTGATCAATTTAGTGTTTCTTTGAACGATTGTGTGAGTTTGATTGAGACCAAGTGTTGGATCTTAGTGCCATCAAAATGCAAAAATTCGAGTTAAATTTGTCCCCAGTGATAGTTGGTATCAAATTGCAAGTTTTCGATCATGGCTGGTGGAAATATTACAGAGTTACGTGAACAAGTGACTCGTCTAAAAGATTTTTTGGGCGCCTCTCAAGGTGATGCAGCAACCCGTGTGTCTATGCAGATGGAACAACACGATGTCGAGATTGCCGGTAGAAGATGGCCTTTGACAATTACGTGAAAGACACCGATGCCAAGATTGCAATGATGATGGAGGACGTTTTGCCCCTCACAGATATTGTTAAGTCAAATTTAAAGGATCTTGAAGATGAGGTGGCCTTTGTGAAAGGAGCCATGCATTCTTAACCTGCTTTGGGGGAGATGTCTTCGAAGATCGACGTCCGTGAGCCCAAGGCCTTCGGTTGTACTGGCAATGCAAAGGATTTAGAAAACTTTCTGTGGGACATGAAACTACCATAACCAACATGTATCTTTTTGAGGATGCGTGGTGGCGGACTTGGAAGTGCGCGACGACCTAAGATCGAGATGTGGGATGCATTGAAAAAAGAGTTGAAGGATCAATTCTTGCCTAGCAACACTATCTGGATTGCTAGGGACGCGCTCAAGAAATTGGGGCTTACAGAAACTTTTTGATATTGTGCAAAGGATTTCAATTCTTTGATGTTGAATATCAAGAACATGCCTGAGGAGTACAAATTTTCAATTTCTTGTCCGGTTTGCAAGGATGGGCACAAGTCGAGTTGTGTAGGCATGGGGTGCTTGATCGGCTACCTACTATTGTTGTTGCGCATGGCCTTGTTGACTTTAAGATGGGTAGTCTAGGCTCTTGTGAAAAGAAGAAGAAAGATGGTGGCAACATTTGCAAAAACAAGTGGTGGTAGTCAAGTCTAATGTAGCGGCTGAATACAGAGCAATGGGTATAAGACTGTACTGTGATAATAAGGCAACTATCAACAACACACATTATTTAGTTCAACATGACAAAACTAAACATGTCGAAATTGGCTGACACGTCATCAAAGAGAAGCTGAACAAGTGTTTAATTTGCATGCGCTTTGTGAAATCAGAAAGTCAATTGGCCGATATCTTCACAAAGGGGCTTAGTAGTAAGTTTTTTCATCCTGTCATTACAAGTTGGGCATGAGAGATATCTATGCATCAACTTGAGGGGGAGTGTTATGTTATATTATGATGTATTTATATCTAGCTTAAGGGTATTTTTAGTACTTTGTGTCTATATATATAAATTGGGATGTAACTGTGTAACCTTACACTCTTCTCATAATCTTGTCTCTTTCCATCTTTTTCTCTTCTCTTTCTCAAATCCCTGATTACTTTATAATCTAACTATTTGTCTATTGAGTAAGGGTTTTAACAGATGAGAAAATGGTTAGAAAGGTTTTGGTTGAAATCATTGAAGGCAAAAACCCAGGAGAAAAGGTAATGAAGACGAAGAGAGAACCAGAGCCATATCTCTAGACTGTTCGGAAGTCAAACCTGTACAAGACTCATCTTCTATTATGAACAAAGGGACTTGCATTCAAACAGCAAAAAGAAAGAGCTTACAACCACATAAACAAAGAGGTGTAGCTTCAATGCCAAGGCCACCTGGTTGTCAAGTGAATTTGATGGCCAAGTAGATTAGTGTCTAAGTTTGGCCATTGGACGTTTCCTAACCCTTTGGGCTCAACTGTGTTAAAAATGAATAAGCAAGCCAAAAGAAGAAAACAAACAAACCTACAAAAAGGCCAAGGACAGTCACTCTACATCCATGTTGAAAATGATTAAAATTACCAAAAGTGCCCAACCTAAAAATATAACCAAATATATTAAACCTAACATCAGTTAGGAACCAAAATTGTACCTTGGACAACTTTCTTTAACCCATAATGCTTCTTGGTAATGGTAATCACCTTCATCAGTGATTTCCAAAGGGGAGCTATTTATTTGTTTGGCCGGTCAATAGATGGGCATCAGTTATCATTTGGCTTCACCATTTCCCTTTTATCTTTAGGTTATTTGATTGCTTCCTCTTCCAGGCATTGTGATTGTAGATGGAATGCAAATACATTACTTGCATACAATAATCATGTCTTATTAGATATATTATCTATTTCCTTAGCCAAAAGAAAATAACATTCGTGTCTGCTGCAGGTTTTGAACAAAATAGATCTTCCAGGTGCTGAACCTAATCGAGTTTCCCAGGAGATTGAGGAGGTTAGTCTACTGGACAAGAGAAAATATATACATGTTTTTGTTGGGCGCTTCCAAAGCTAATTGAGAATTTTGAGCCTCCTCCTATAAACATTGGCTTCTTTGCAAATCTGAAATCTGTAAAGAACACCATTCTAGAATGTGAAAATTGCAGTTAAAAGTTCTTTTCGTGTAGCAAGATGGTAGTAATCAAAAGCATTTTGTACTTCAATATTGCCTCCGAATGCATCAACTATCTGTATTCCTTGGTGCTTACATGAAATCCTCTATCTTCTGCATTATACTGCGCGCCCATATGGATATATATCAATAAAACATTTTTTAACCTGACTAATTTTGAAAAGTTTGTTCTCAGATGATATTTTTTTCACTGTGTAGGTTGTCGGATTAGATTGTAGCAATGCAATTTACTGCTCAGCAAAGGTTGGTTTTCAGTTGATTTTCTTTGTTATAAGTATCCTAAATAATGGAAATTAACCTCTTTAAATTTGGGGTAAGGCAGTCTGTTACCTCCTCTGTGAGACCCCGCTATAGGTGGGAGCCTTGTTTATTTGGTACGACCAATTTATTTGTAGTGATCATATGGCTCCTGCTATGCATGGTAAAGAGTTGTAGGAAAAATGAACGAGTTTTATACTTATATTGATCCTGATATGACTAGAACGGAATTGGGAGCTACTATTGTTTTTCCTTGTTTTTATTTTGTAGGAAGGAATGGGTATTGCAGAGATTTTGAATGCAATTGTTCAAAGGATTCCCCCGCCTCGTGATACTGCTGAAAGACCTTTCAGGGCTCTAATATTTGATAGGTATTGAACTTAGGTATCATGGTTGAACAGATTATTGTGGAGGAGTTACTTCTCTCTCCCCCCCCAAAAAAAATAATAAAACAAAATGGTGGTATTGGGGAATTGGTTACAATTCCTTATACTTCATTGTTGAGAAAAAAAAAAACATTTTGAAGTGTAAAATAGTGTGTAACCTTACAATCTTTGAGATCTAGAATAAGTCGGAAAAAGAACACTCCTTCAAGTTGCTTTAAACTTATAGAAATGATTTCACCAAGAAATATCCCTTAAATTCCTTGTAAGGAGTTAAGGTTAAAAAATATGTTTAAAACACCAATAATTTACACTCTTATCCCAATATTGGAAGTGCAACTCAACTCAGCGAAGTCTTATCCCAATATTTTTGGGGTCGACTATATGTTTTCTATCAAACCAAAAGTTATCATATCTTTCTTTATTATCTAATTTAACATTAATTTTGACATTCCTCTACTCCGATGCTTACCGTCAATAACTATCATATCGCTCTCTCACCAGTGCCATAATAGGTCGCATACATATATTTTCAAACCACCTAAGTCTATTTTGCTTTAATTATTTGTTTCCTATATGTGCTACCTTTACTTTTTTACGGTTATAATCGTTCCTAATTTTATCATTATTTGTTTTACCACACATCCGTCTTAAGATTTTCATTTTTGCTGCGCTCAATTTTTAAACATGTTTTTTAGTTGCTCAACACGCAATATCATGAAACATAGCGGGTTTTGTGGCCGTTTCATAGAACATTGCTTTTAGTTTAAGGGATATGCATCTATCTCACAATACACATGATGCATTCCTCTATTTAGTTTGTCATGCATTAATTCTATGAGGAACATTGTCACCAATCTCACACTTTATAAATAGTAGATCCTAAATATTTGAAGTGTTCACTTTTCAATATCTTACGATTTTCAATTTTTACTACTTCAATTCCTCTTTTTACTAAATTTGCATTCCATATATGAAGTTTTAGTCCCACTTATTTTAAATCTTTTTGATTCTAGCACTTTTTGCCACATTTTTAGTTTATTATTAATTCCTTCTTTACTTTTATAAACTAATACAATATTATCCGTAAATAACATACGTGATGAGAGCTCATCCTAAATGTGTCTGGTAAATTCATCCATAATCAACATAAAAAGATATGAACTTAAAGCAGATCTCTGATGTAATCCTACAATAATTGAATCGCTCAAGTTATCACATTTTTATACATATCCTTTATCACATCAATGTGCTTAACAATAACTTTTTTCTTCTCTAGAACCCTCCATAATATATCTCTAGGGACTCTAAATGTGTCTAGTAAAATCGTCCATAATCAACATAAAAAGATATGAACTTATAGCAGATCTGTGATGTAATTGTACAATAATTGAATTGCTCAAGTTACCACATTTTTATACATGTCCTTTATCACATCAATGTGCTTAATAGTAATTTTTTTCTTTTCTAGAACCCTCCATAATATATCTCTAGGGACTCTATCGTATGTCGTCTCTAAGTTTATAAACCATAGTAAGTTCTTTATTTTTCTACCTATACGTCTCCATTAGGCTCCAAAGTAAGTATATACTTTCCACTATTGATCTTCAAGCATAAATCCAAATTAATTGTCAAATGTCCTTATTGCAAACCTTAGTCTTTGCTCGATCAACCTCTCCTAAGGTTTCATTGTATGACATATTAGTTTAATATCTCGATAGTTTGTGCAACTCTGTATGTCTATATAAGTACTAAAATGTTCTTTCTCCACTCATTGAGCAGGTTTTTAGTCATTATAATCTTATTGAATAATTTAGTTAACCATGGTACCCCTATATCCTAGATACTTTCAAACCGCGATAGGTATACCATTATGTCCTAAAGCTTTCCCTTTATTCATATTGTTTAATGTATCATTTACCTCCGACATACTAATTTTACTGAAAAATGTGTTTTCTCTAACTTCCCTATAATTTTTGTACTCACCAATGTCTAAGCTCTATGTATGATTTTCATCAAGTAATATTTTAAAGGAATTCTTCCATCTTTCTTTAATTTTCTCATTTTTTTGTCAAACCCAAGACTCTTCATTCTTAACACATTTGATTTGATTAATATCTGTAGTTTTTCTTCTCTTAATTTAGCAAGTTTGTCTATGCTTTTCTCTCCATCCTTTGTATCTAGTTTAGAGTAAAAATTATCATATGCTTTGCACTTGGTTTTTGTTTCCTCTTTTTCACTTATTTATTGCAAACTTGTAACTTTTAAAGTTCTCTTTATTTTTTGTTGTTTGCCATGTTTTATAGCACTCTTTTTCTACTTTTAGCGCAATTTGGATATCATCATTTCACCGATAAATGTTTCTCGCAAAAGTTCCATTACCTCTTGATTCTCCAAGCATCTCAATAGATACTTTTTTAATATGTTATACCATTGTATTCCACATCCATACTAGTTCTTTTAGTGTTGTCTCTTAAACAAATCTTTCCTTTCACCTTTCAAATTTCAACTTCTAGTTTTTGTATTTTTAATCTATTTCTTATGTTTTATATTTTTTTAGTATATACATCTAGTACCATTATGCTATGTTGTGTGAGTCCTCTCTTGGAATGATTTTACAGTCCTCATAGGATCTACGTTTCACTCATCTAGTTAGGTGAAAATTTATTTGACTTTTATTTAATCCACTTAAAAAGTTGTTAAATCTCTATCCCTCTTTTAAAAATACGTACGTGCAATTAAAAAAGATCATATGCTATAGCAAAATCTAAAATAGAATCTTTAGCATCATTTCTATCTTCAAATCCATTTCCACCATATATCCTCTCATATCCCCCTTGATCCTTTTCCCTGTGGGTCCTTACAGTCTCGTCCTATGTATACTCTTTCTTCTATAGGTATTGCTTTCATTAGTTCATCCATATCCTCCCAAAATTGAGTTTTTTTTTGTGTTCATCTAATCCTATTTGAGGTGCATACGCACTATTAATATTAACTATACTTCCCCCCTATTACAAATTTACTTAATAATATTCTATCTCCTTTTCTAAGAACGGTTATTACTTGTTGTTTAAGGTGCAAATATTCCTACTCCATTTCTGTCTATATTTTTCAGTATATTGGAAGTCTATAACCTATATTTTCTGCTTCTCCCATCTTAGCCGTTATCCACTTAGTTTTTTGTAGGCATGCTATATTAACTTTTCTTCTAATCGTGGTTTCAACTAAGTTTATTTCGTTACCTGTTAGTGTTCCTATATTTCAAGTTGCTAACCTAAGTTTAGTATCTTAGACTAACTTTTGACTTGCACTTGTCTAGAGTGATGTAGGAATTCTTGTGAATTTTTCACGACATTTGGGTCATTGCGATGTGTCGCCTCTTGCCCATTTTTTGAAACACCCAAATGCAAGTGCAACACTTCGCTTTTGGGGAATACTCAATATTTACTGAATTCTTTGCATTTATGTTCATATTTGGCCTGACGAGTTTTACGTTGGTTGGTAGCTAACTAACGCAATTCTCCTCCTTTATTCGGGCTTGAGACCGTCTATGCACAGGAGTACACTAATGGATGTGCGAAGTTGATTTTTTTGGTTAAACAGTGCAGTTTTATAATATTATCATTATGCCACTATGGTAATTGGTTTGGGGGGAGAATTTGGTTCTAGGAAAAATGTCAGTGGTATTAGGGACATATATGCAACTAATTATAGCTCTGAGTTCTGTATCTTTTGTAGACAATTCCTAGTATGTCGTCGTTGAGACTAAAAAAAAAAAGCAATTTGAATTGGTAAATAATTTGTGTAACCTTTTGAACCTTATTGTCTTCATCTTCTTTTTTCATCATTGCTCTTTTGTAACAATGGTAGAAATAAAAATTGAGATGAAGTATGGCCGAGGTGACTTCATCATAATCACAAAAATGGCCGAGGTCACCTCTCTCTTTATTTTTCCTCTCTCTGTCTCCACAAATCACAATTACACACGCGCGCACACACACACACACACAGGCACACACACACACAGGCATAGACACACACATACACACGCAGACACATAGATCTGTGTAGATCTGGAGTTGTTGCGAAAGAGAGAGAGAGAGGCTGGGTAGTGAAGATGATGGAGAAGAAAAAAAAAGAAGAAGACGCTGGATAGTGAAGACGATGGAGAAGAAGACTCTGGGCAAAGTGGAGAGAGGGAGAGGAAAAAAAAGAAAAGAAGAAGACATTTTGCTGCTAAGGGGACTCGAAGGGTAGACCTCATTTAACTTGTCTCTGTGTTTCCAAAATTTTCAAAGAAAACTGCGAAAACAAGTTTCAGTTGTTTTCTGTTATTGTGCTCCAAATCTCATTTTTCCGAAAATTTTGAGAACAAAAATGCTAAGCAAACAGATTTTGGGTGTTTTTACAATTTTGAAAACAAAAACCTGTTTTGTAAATGATAACCAAACACGCCCTAGATGTCCTCTTAGGTGCCGAACCATATTATATTTGCTATGGACTAGAGTAAGTTGGAAACCTAATGAATAGGAAAAACTTCATTATGTTGATTTTTTGAAGAAGTATGGAGTGAGATGGCATCTATGTGGGCTGATGATAAAAACTATGAACCAATGGTAACAAGACTATCTAACCCCGATTTTACAACAAAAATGTAAAATGAAAGGGGACAGGCAAAAGATTATGCCTGCACTGAAAATAGTTTGAATTTTTACCCAATTTACAAAATTTAAACAGGAACTACAGCGCGTGTGAGAGCACAAGCTGCACCAGTCTTATAAATCCTGATGCTTATTCTTCGCAGGTGAAATATCAATGCTATATGAGAGAGATATTATGTATTACTGGTCACTTTTTATTTGTTATGCAAGCCAACAGCTTTTAAAATGTAATGAAAGTATCATTTAGCAGCGATGGGTCATTTACAAGTTGACAATTTGTATTTGTTCAAAGTAAACTGTGCCCAGTGTAACTTGCCTTTATATGATAATTCAAATTCCAGAACAGAATATACTAGTCTTAAAATCAGTGAACAATAAACATGTGGCCAACTATATTGCTGCAATAGCTTAAAAGATACCTGAATTGATTCTAAATGATGGGCTTAGTCTACACTCAATCTTGTGCTAAAATATACTAAAACATTCTTGACACTCAACATGAGCTGTACATGAGCACAGCCCATGTAAGTGAAGTCTTCAAAAGTTTGACTTGTATTGGGCCACTTTCCATTTATGGTTTCCAGAACATAACGTGCTGAATATTCAATTTAAATACAACATTTAAATTGCTAAGGCTGACAACTCGATGTCATAGTCTGCTTAAGTTCTTTGAAAATCATGAATAAAGTAGAGATAGAGCATGAATAAAGTAGAGACATGATATTTTATAAGTGGCCATGGTATACAACTACACCTACAAGATATAATACTTCCATGTAGTCACAGATTGGGCCTAAATTTACTAGAGTTACCACTGCACTATGTTCATGAGCTGAATGGCACCAACCTTGGGCTTGCTAAGACTAGGCACATTATATTAATGACGCCTTTAACCCTGCTTGAACTCAACTCATTTAGTCAAAATACACCCATTGAATGGAGCTGCAAACATTCCAATCCGAGCTGTTCATGAAATGCTCGGTTCATTTGCAGCGTAACCTTCATATGCAACAATCAATGAGTTTGACTTCTACTTCATATCTCTTAGGTTTTTACTCTATTTCCTTCCCAAATGAATATTTAGTGCTGTTCCAATTGCATATTGGAATTGTTTCCTTTGACATCTTTTCCTTCGAATTTTTTTTATTCATTTTGCTTGCTTTCTTTCTTTCTTTTTTTTTTTTGGCATGCCAAGGCTTCGGAACTTATTGTATTTGGCTAGTTGGTCACTATTAGGTCATGCCTATTTATACAATGGTACTTTTCTTCCATATTTTTGTTTGACATTTTTTTAGAAAAATAATGCTTTTGCAATATTCATGTATATCAACTAAACTCAAATAATATTTTTGTGCAGTTACTATGATTCATACAGGGGTGTCGTTGTATATTTTCGAGTCATTGATGGAACAATAAAGAAAGGTGACCGAATCATTTTTATGGCAAGTGGGAAGGTAAAGTTCTGAGATTTTACCTTCGGGAAAAAACATTCTGAAAGTCTTTCTTTCTCTCTTAATTAAGTAAAACTCATGGTCTTCCCTTGATTGTTCTCCAGTATTCTATGTACTCGACTGCTTACCCTCAAAAATACTATTTAATGTAACTATTCAATAAATTGATTGTGAAGCATTCTAGTTAAATGTTCAGATTTCTCTTATTAATTTTTTTTTTCTTTTTTCCTCCTTTAAAATATGTTGGCAGCTTGCATTCTTGAAAACCCTATGGCTAATGTTGGAACTATGAAATGTTAAAATGCAGGATTATTTTGCTGATGAAATTGGAGTTTTATCTCCCAATCAGTTGCAAGTTGGCGAATTATATGCTGGTGAGGTACAGGAAGACATCTCTCGGATTTGGTTCCTCATATGATTATCTTCTTGTTTTCTAATGATTAGTGGTTCTTTTCAACATCGTCTTTCACTATTTCAGAATTCGTGCTTGAAGCCTGGAGATTTGCTATTGAATGTTCATCTATTATATTTTTTTACTGTTTGGCTAAAAAATGCTATAAACAAAGGTTTTTGATTGAACTTTACTAAATTATTTCAACATAATTTTATAATACATATTCACTCACTAGAAACAGGAAATGCTGATTGTTAGAAACTATTTAGTCTCGTTTTTATATTTATTGTTATTATGATTATTTTTGTTCTTTTGGTATTTGAACTATAATATAAGTGACAGAGTGAGAGAACCCTAACTCTGTCTTCTCTTTTTTAGTCGTATTTCTTTTCTTTCTTTATTCTCTATTTCTTCCTTTTTTCTTTGTATATTAATTCAACATGGTATTGGAGCGAGTTTCTTGATTCTCAGATTCATCTATACGTGGAACAACACTAAATTTTTTGTTTTATTTTATTTTTCATTAGTTTGCTTGAAAAAGAGTTTTTCTTGATGAGTAGAGTTCGTCTATAATTTTTTTGGATTTTCTGAAATTATTTGGTGCTTCGTTTTATTTTTTCTTTATTTCTTGGAATTTTATGCCTAATTTTCAAATTTATGATTTTCAACCTTTTTTTTGGTGGGCCTTGTTGCTTGGAATAGACACTATGGGTGCCAATATCTAGTGCCTAATGATCCCCGGTGATTTGGAGTTGTTTTTTTTGGTGTTTTATGGCTTCAAGAGGGGAGGCAAGCATGCTTTTTTGCCTTAGGCAGTCCATTTTGTGCCCCAGCAGTGATTATGAAACTTAATGGACACGATTACCTTGTTTGGTCATAGTTGGCAATGTTGTTTGTTAGGAGTAAGGGAAAGATGAGTTACTTGACTAGAAAAACTAAGGAACCAGATCGATGTTCCACTTTATGATAAGTGGGAAGCTGAATGGTTATGTCTTGGCTACTGCACTCTATGCAGCCAGAGACTAGTAATGACTATTTGTTTCTATGTATTGCCATCGTAATTCATACTAGGGGCAGAGGCAACACTTTGTTTTCGTTGGATGGAGCAGCGGTCACTGGTGGCTTTAACGAGAGAAAATCAACGGCTTCAACAGGTGGCTTTAACGGTAGTTTCAACTAGGGTGGCAATTCTAACCCTTAACCCGTCCACTCGCCCATAAATTAATGGGTTGAATATTTGTTTTTATTAATACAGGTTAAAAATGAGTTGGGTACTATTATTTGGTTTGAAATAGGTACCAATTGAGTTTTCCTTCTTAAAAACTACTGAACAGTAAATACAGACCCAACCGGCTCTCATCTATCCTCTCTTGACGATATGACTGGTGTAAACCCGTCAAGGATCAAGATATTGTTTCGAAACGGTCGAAACGTCTGAAACGTTTTCGTTTTCAAGGAGACCAAAACGAAACAGTGATGAAATCGAAATTTTGATATTTTGAGATATTCCATAATATTTTTAAATGTATTATAATATTTCATTGTGTTTGCACAATTATTTTAGAATGTTTCAAGGTATTTCAAGATATTTTGATTTATTTTCATCAATGTTTTAGAAAAATAATTCTTAAATTTTTTATTCTTTTCATTATGTTTCCCCAACGAGTCGAAATGTTTTCGAAATACGTGAAAATATTTTCGCTTTCTAGGTGAACAAAACAATACATTGAAATAATATTTTGATTCTTGAAACCCGCTGCTACTCCGACTGGAATTTCTTATTGCATCTTGCTTCTCTGCATCATTCAAGCCTCACTCTATAGTTTGAGATATTTTTAAGAAGTTACCAGTTAATAGTGAGAGGAGACAAAAGGTCAAGTGTACAAAGTGTGACCAAGAGTATTGGGCTGATATGAAGTTCGAAATGTCAAATTTGAAGCGACATCTCAAAATTTAGTCCTGGCCATGAGACAAATGAGTTGGCACCACAACTACCTTTTAATTAAGATGCCTATCGAGATAATATTTTTGATATCATAATCAAACATAATTACCCCCCTTTAACTTTATGTAACAAGAAGGAATTGGTGAGTTGCATAATTTCTTGAATCTGGATATGAAATCAATCTGAAGAAACACCGTGACGTTAGATATTTTGAAAGCTTATGAAAGTTAGAAAAAATAACTTAAATATGCATTGGAATTAATTCTAACTAGGATATGCTTGACTTCAGATATATGGACTTCTTTCACCACAGACGGTTGTATGTCACATTGTATCAAGATTGTGCGTGTGACAGTGTGTTTTTGCGTCATTATGTGTGTCAATATGTGGGTCTGTATGTTTGATTACTTAGTGTATATTTTTTTGTTAATTATTGTGTATTTTTTGAGGTTATTAGGGTGTATGTTGGTGTAATAGTGTATTTATTTTGGTGTAATAGTGTGTGTATTTTGGTGTAATTGTGCGTCTATTAAGAGTTTTATTTATTTTATGGGTTAATGGATTTAACTCAACCCATTATAACCCATTTAATACTTAAGTGAAAAATGAATTGAATTTATTTTAAATCCAAGCCAATTTAACCCTGACCATAACTAACTCAATTCACTCATTTGTCATCTCTAGTTTCAACCATTCAACACAGATCCAACTAGATATGGAACCTATCAAAATGTATCCTTTAGATCAAACTTAGAAAGTCACAGACCTGCAACAAACAAGGCAGATCTAGAATATGACAATTATGGGTGAATTGTTTTTTGTATTTTTTTGGTGTGGATCTAGATCTGAAGATGATAGAGAACGTAAGTTTATGAAATTTTGGGTTTTTGGATGAAAGAAATGGAGATCTGTTTGATATTTATACTGAAATTGATATTCGGGTTGTAGCGGGGTAAATTGGCTCAATTCAACTTGTATCGTTTGTTACAACCTTTATGGGGATGTAACGCCCATTACAGAGGTGAATTTCATTCCAACGGTTATATCGGGGTGTAACAGAATTGTTCGGCTTCGTTACCGTTACGTAACGACCAATTTTCAGAACTCTGGGTAAAGGTCACCCCAACTAATTTCAAGAATAAAATGAAAAAGGAAACAAAAAGGAAGGGGGATTAAAATAAGGGTTATAAATTAACAATGATAATGGGAAAAAAGGGGGGGGGAAGAGCATTAAGCAAATCAACATATCGTTTTGAAACGGTTGAAACGTCCAAAACGTTTCCGTTTTCAAGGAGACCAAAACGAAACAGTGATAAAATTGAAATTCTGATATTTCGAGGTATTGTATAATGTTTCTAGATGTATTATAATATTTCAATGCATTTGCACAATTATTTTGGAATGTTTCAAGGAATTTCAAGATAGTTTGATATATTTCCATCAATATTTTAGAAAAATAATTTTTAAATTTTTTATTTTTTTTATTATTTTTCTAAAACGGATCGAAACGTTTTCGAAACACAATGAAATATTTTTGTTTTCTAGGTGACCGAAATAATACACCGAAACGATATTTTGATCTTTGGCATTAAGTTAATTTACAAATAGAAAAAAATTGACCAAAAAAAAAAAAACAAGAATAAAAGAAAAAAGAGGGGGGGGGAGGAGCAAGGGGTTAAAAATGACGGTAAGCCGTTTGTTCTCACTTCTCATTAGAGAACTAGCGCACGCGAAAGATAGAAAACAGATGCATGAGAGAGAGAGGTCTAAGATTCGATGAAGATTTGCAAGGCTCGGTATCCCATCCTGGATTTGTGTGTTTGAGAGATAGAGAGTGTCATCCCTATCCCTAGATCTGAGGAAAAGAGATCGCCATCCCCATCATAGTTGAAACTCGATGAAGACCTAGTAAAGAATAAGGAAGAAAGGGAGAAAAAAAAAACAAAGGAAGAAGATCGTACCTGGAAGAGGCTAGATGTGGATTGTCGGAGTGGAGGTTAGTTTGGATCTGATCAGATGTGGATTGTGCAGGAATTAAAATTTTGTTTTGAAATAGTCAAAATGTCCAAAATGCTTCCGTTTTAAAGGAGACCAAAATGAATCAGTGATGAAATTGAAATTTTAATACGTCAAAGTGTTTTAAAATATTTTAAGGTGTTTTGTAATATTTTAATACATTTGGACAATTATTTCAAAATGTTTCAAAGTATTTTGGTATATTTCGACCAATGTTTCGGAAAAATAATTCTTACTTTATTTTTAATTTTTTTATTATGTTTCCGAAACGAGTTGAAATATTTTCGAGACACATCAAAATGTTTATGTTTCCTATTTGATCGAAATAATGTACTGAAACAGAATTTTAATCCTTGCATGAGAGTGGAGGTTGGCTTGGATCTGCTCAAAGATGGACTCGTGGACACTTGGTAAGATGTTGAACTCTTCTCTTTCTTTCGATTCCTACTGATTCAAGTCACTACTTCGATCGAAACGTCATAGTTTTGATCGAATCGTTCAAAACTCTAGAATTTTTTGTTTCTATCCCAGTTTTGTGTGGATATGTTGAAAATTCAAAAGGTTTCAGACCTTTCAAACATTTCGATACAATATTTCTTTTCTTGTGTATAACATTCTTTTCTTCACATTGTGTCATTCTGGACCTTGTCATGGGGAAGATGATTGGCAGTGGTGAGGAGAGAGTTGGTCTTTACGGGCGGTGCTACCATTACACAAAGCTTATAAGTCAAAAAGATGTGATATTTATGAGGAACACATTTGGCTACTACATCAGAGATTAGGAAATCCTCCATTTGTTTCGTTGAAAATAATTATTTCTTTGTTTATTTTCTCGGGTGAATCTCTTTCAATTTCATTGTGAAATATGTGAATTTGCAAAACACCATCGTGTGTCATTTCTTATTTGTTTCAATAAAAAGTACTTCACCTTTTACCATTCTTCATACGGATCTTTGGGGACCTTCCCAGGTTGTTAACTTATCTATTTTTCGGTGGTTTGTGACATTTAGTGATGATTTTTCTCGTACTACTTGGGTTTATTTTGCCGAATAGAAAAAAAAAATGAAGTATTATCTTGTTTCTCTACTTTCCATGAGATGATACTTACTCAACTTAGTACTCAAGAACAAATTGTTCGTTTTGATAATGGAGTTGAGTATGTGTACGGGGGACTTCGCTCCTATTTTGCTGAGCATGATATTATTTACCAAACAACTTGTATTTATACACTGAATGGGATTGCTGAGAGAAAAAAATCACCCTCTATTAGAAGTTGCAAAGGCCTTGATGTTTTCTATGAATGTTAGTTCCAAAGTCATAATGGGGAGATGCCATCCTTACATCGACATGTCTTATCAATAGAATGTCTTATCAAGTTCTAAACTTTTGGTCACCAGTTGAGGTATTATCTTCTTCTTCTTCCTATTCTTCCTCTAACTGTTTTTTAGTTCCTTCTCGTGTGTTTGGATGTGTTTGCTTTGTTCATGTTCCACCACGGCTTAGATGCAAATGCAGTTTTCTTGCTTATTCTCCTAAACAAATTTTACAAATATTTTCATCCTCCTTCGGGTAAAATATTTGTTTCCATGAATGCCATTTTTTTTTGTTGATAAAGTAGCCTATTCCACCCTACATACTTCTATTTAGGGGGAGCATTTAAGTGAAGACAAGTCTGAATTTATTCTCCCATCTGCCTTATCAGTGCCATTTTTTTTATTGGAACAAGAGCGGGATAATAATGAGGAACATCAGCAACAAGAATAAAATGAATTACAAGTTTATTCAAGAAGACAAAAGGAGATGACCATTTCTAATCCACTACCTTGCCAGACGGCTTCCTTGAAATCATCAGGTAATCCTACTCTTAAGTTTCAGACTGATATTCCCATTGTTTTTTGTAAAGGTGTTCGAACTTGTACTTAACATCCCATATCTAATTTTGTATCTTTGTGTCACCGCTCACCCTCTTATCAAGCTTTTGTATCGCAGTTGTCCTCTGTGTTTGTTCCTAATAATTTACAGTATGCACTGAATGATTCCAAGTAATAGGTGAAGAGATAAATGCACTTCAGAAAAATAATATGTGGGTGAAAATGGGTATTTACAGTGAAATATAAGGTTGATGGCTCGGTTGAAAATTTGAAATATACAAGGCTAGACTGATCGTTAAAGGCTTTACACGTACTTATGGGATTAATTATCAGTCACCATTTGCCCTG